TCCATACCAAAGTTACTTTATGGTTTGATTTGAATTTATTTCGGAAGAACTGAACATAAATAAATATGACAATAGAACATGAATTAAAATGTACGGAAGTCTTGAATCTAAAAAGCCTGTAAATATCATTCCAGCTTATTTCCATTGGGGTCCACTAAATACACACAAATACAATTTTTTTTAAAGTAAATAAAAAACATACAAAAATTTATGCATAAAATGATCACTAAAATATTTGAAAGTCAATGTTTAAAATTCTTAAAATAAGTTAAAATCAATTCTTTCATTCATTCATGAGATGTTGCTAAACATTCCTTTACTTTTATTTTAAAATCCTTCTAGTTTAAAATGTCTTTTTAAAATGTGCGGTAAAAGGTTCCATTGTTGTGCTGCTGTGTAAAAGAATTTATCTTTGACATACAGTACGTGTCTTATTTAGGCAGGGTAGTATTTATGAGCCTAATACATTATGGTAAGCTTGAAAATTTAGACTATAATTCAGTAAATTTTCAAAGAATTCATTCTTTTCTTACGTGCACATCTAATATTTGATTTTTAAACAAAACAATACTGAGCACTTATAAATTTGGTAGTGAGAACCAACTACTATAATTCTACTCTCTAATTAATCTTGGGTTTCAATAATCTGTCACTTCCCAAGCATCACAGGAGATTCAAACACAGAACATGAGGGTCCAAAATGAACAAGCTTAAAGATGTATTCTCCCTTGAAAATGACAAAATCTTAAAAATTAATTTTTAAATGAACTTCAAGCTCATTTTGCTGTAACATACAAATTATAAACTTAAGCAAGAAATTACGGTACTAAATTTAAAAAATTGTGTATTTTGTACTGGATAATGATAATAAAAATAATACAACGCTTAAAGGGTAAGTGATAAACTGTAGGTTTTTAAGCACACTAATGTGTACATTCAAGTTGATAATTTTTATGTCATTTCAAAATGAGCAAAGTTAATTTCAAAACTTATTTTTTTATTTTTTGTCAGTATTTTACATGTTATTTTATTTTTTGTTGTATTTGCAAAACATCTTTAAGAAAATTCTTAAAGAATCACCTTGAAAAATATGTGTTTTATTATTATTATTAAACTGATTTACGGAAGAAATTTCAAATCATACAAAAACAAGTCCAATATGACACAATTATGGTTTCATAAAGCAAGTCTGAAAACAATAAAGACCCTTTGTTAGATCTTATAACAGATATCAATCACCCTTCACTTATTCTGTTAGACTTTTCACTCAATACTGCATGGTTTTACAAGACTTTTCATTAAAATCACCCATGTTTGAATTAATTAGCTAATCACAATACTTTTTCTGCAGCATATGTATTACAACCATCTCAATATTTGTGAGAACTACATCAGCGACAATAGATTTAGAGTGGGTGAAATTTTTGTATTTCAATAGAAGTTGATTGCATAAACAACAGAATTTGAGAAAATATTTTTAGTAAAAGATCTACACCCAAAAAAAAAAAGTATGTAATTGTCTCCTGAAAATGACAAATAATCATAAAAAATAATTTTGAAAATTAACTTGCTTATTTTAGAGTAACATACAAATTATTTGATTATAGAAATTATTGAATAAAAATGATTATAATTTTACAGCAAAAAATGACAGAAACATTTCCAGTCACTGGAAGTGTTTTATTATTTTTATTATCATTATCCAGTATAAAAATTATGGTAGAACTACACATTTTTTAAATTCAATAATTTCTAAGCTCAAGGTAATTTGTATGTTACTGCAAAAAAATAAGCACGTTGATTTTAAAATTACATTTTTATGATTTTTTTGTCATTTTCAGGGGGTAATACATCTTTGAAGAATACTGCATTTCACCAAACAGTGGCTGTACTGTAGAGCCAGCAACATTGCTTCACAGCATGGAGAAATAAAGCATTCAAAGCACCATTGATCAATAGGAAATCATTCAAATGACTATTAGGTTCCTTAAGTACTTCCTACCTGTTGTAGTACTTAGACTCTCTAATTTGATTTAGTGTAAGACTACGTGTACCATGTACTCAATTTCAACCATTAGAAATTAGAGTGGAACAATATAAATAAAATGCTACTGTAAGTACTGTATAGGGCCTATTATTATTACTAAGACCATTAACCTAATTCATACAATAATTTTTTTTTTTTTTTCCTAACAGTACATTTAAAAATTCTCTATTGCTTATTATTTACAAACTTTCATTCCACTTGATATTTCTCTTAGTTTTTTAACTTAAACAAATTATACTGACTTCATAAATGGTTACATAATAATTAATACACATTATGTTTGAGTTAGGGGCCGTCCAAAAACTATTTTAACGCAAGTAAGTTAATAACTACCGTAGTAGTACCGTCCAGCTAAGCCAGCTCTAGGCTTAACTAAAGGCTGGGCTAGATCCTTTTTTTTTTTTCTTTGAAAAGTAAACAACAAACCCCCGTCGATGAACACATTGATGATGTGTCGCAAGTGCCGCGGTAAACAGAAGAATTTAGCTAACATGCATATTCATTAGTTATTTCGTTAGCTCGTGAATGGTGAATATTAGGCTACATCCATATGCCACGTTTGTGAAAGTCAGCGATAAGACAACCGATAACGCTGTACTCGTGTTCAAATAGTTTTTGGACGGTCCCTTAGTGTAGAACTTCAAACTCAATTTCAACTATTGAAAAATATGTTGGAGAAGTAACAATATTCTATTTTTCTCCTACTGTATTACTATTACTCAGTTTTGTATATTGACTTCCATTCTACAATATTTTATTATTTTCTTCAGCTTTCGAACTTACTGTATACAGTACAATAATATAAAATTGTATTAGAATGGTAATCAATACAAATTAATGTAGCTCTCTGAGATGGCGGAATAACAATTGCTGTCCAATGATTGTGAGATGTTTGTACTGTATAATTATAAAGCATAAAAAAGACCATGTTTATCATCAGGAATAAAATTAGAAATAAATTAGGGAGAATGGCTAAAGCAACAAGTAAAGTAAAACCTACAACTACAAATACCAAAACGGTCAATCACAGAAAATAAAATTTATTTGAGCCTATTTTTTATATAAATATTCTAGCCCATTTTAAGCTAGGAATATAAAGAATTACAGTACTTCAAAAAGTTAGGGAGGATTTGATATAATTAGCAGAGAGATGTCAATTATGCACAAGCTGTCCTGGGATTCATCGACCAACCGTCAGTAACTCAAATTATAAATATGATTTCAGTTACAAAAATAATTACTTATAGACCAACCTCAACAATTTCTAATCTACACTACAAATAATGTTCCCAACGACAACTTACAATATTTAAAGACGACGCATAATTTTAGTAAATTTTCATCTGAAGGAGCCTTTGTATACTGAAAATGTAATAGATAGACGAAATGTCTACAGCTTAATACCACAAAAAGAAATTAACTAAGACAGCTACAAATGAGAAAACTGAGGGTTCATCAAACGATGTCAGCCATACATATGGAAAAATCATCTACTCCAAGACCAACAAACGCATTACAATAGTTTCTCTATATAATAAATACTTACTAATTAAGACACTTAATAGCCAGTGATGAAACTAATAGTATGATATTGAATTTTACTATATTAACACAGAAAAAACTCATTCATATTTTTCTTATTACAGTATATTAACAAAATCAGTCTGAATTGAAATCTACTGTTTTACACTATTTTTTATTTATTTTTATTTTTTATTCATTGTATATTTTGTAACTTTTATCTAACTGAACCATTTTGGAAACTAGTACATTGTATTGAACGTGTATTTCAGAATAAAGGAAGAATAAATAAATAAATAAATAAATACATAACTAATTACAAATTTGTAATGTACTGTACAAAGAGTATTATTAACAGAACTATAAATAAAACTGTATTTTTGCATAGAACATATTAAAAGGTTTTATGCAAAAAATACACAGACTTAATACTTATGTGCATTATAATTAATGGGCCATATTGTTTTAACTGAACATACAAGTATTAATTAAAATTAAATATTGTATAATTTGAAAAGAACCACAAAAGTTATCAACTTTCAGTAATAAGGAACAGATTACAAAATACAGTAGAAAGTTTATGTTTTAAAGATTTCTATAAATTTGCTTCTAGAAATTTAAGTGTAATAATAATAATTAATATGTAGATTATAAGCCAACTAGTATTTCAATGTCCACTTAGGCAACTACATTTTTGTTAGGCTAATACTGTACTTTAAAAAAATAAATTTTAATTTTAATATTTTTAGATATTCAATTAAATCTTCAATTTGATTCAATTTATTCATGCAAATGGTTAATAACTTTTAATATACAATTTTATAATTAGCAATTAGCAATTTATTTTTATATATATCAAGTTTTCAAGTTTATAATTTATATTTGATTACTTTGCAGTTGGGGATGAAAATAGAACCTTTGACTAGCTAGGCCATAGCATACTAATAGTAAACTGATTTTGCAATTTCCACTGAAAAATTCTGGGCCTTAGTACTTTGTCAATCTCACAATACACAGCTGATGTGTGATATGGCATTGAACTTGCAGTTGAGTTGTAAACTTAAAAAGATAAACTAGGCCTACCAATCAATTATCAATATACAATAATCATCTGATAAGCACCTTTGAGAGTGAACATTGATTGATTATGAATTCTGCACTTGAAATCAATACTTAGTGATAACAAGAGATGATAAGCTAACATTCTGAATAAGCTATGTGATAATTGTCATAGTTGAAGATACAAGCATGGTCTTAGGCCTAGGCCAGCCTGTACTACTACTACCACCACCACCACCACCAACTCGGCTGCTCCGACTACCAAACAAAACAATCCAGCGACTCAGCTGACATCACCTTACCTACAATACACAAGAGCCTTCTCAAACCGCAGATAGTTTGCGAACAAAAACATGTAGAAAGTATCACTTACCAAAACTAGATTTAATAAAACACAAGACTAAAATCCCACTAAGAAGAGCAAGACGTAAGCTAGTCGTTCGAGTATGCATTGTAGCACATCTGATATCCCATTCTTCGGAGAAGTTTCTTGTAAAGTGACGAGATTCAACTTTTCCAAAACACTACCTTCTTTCGTTCACACAGAGTTCATTCTTCAATACACATTACCAACTCTTATAAATAAATATCAATCCGCAATACGTAAGTAATAATTACACTTGTTTCTACAGGCATTAAAAACCAGCCAATGTATCATAAATGAATATAATTATTTTTAAAATCGTTATTTTCTGAAATATTTTATTCGGACGGCTTATATCAATAAAGTTTACATGATTATTTGCGGAGGGAGACTATGTAATGCGGCTGACTGAAGAGAAGTGATTTCGAACACAGCCGTCCGATACCGTTAGGCCTACCTGAGAAAATCCCGTACTGAAAAGACCGGATATACTCCAATGGTTTTTCAAGTGTTACATTGCTTTAACACCGATCATACATTGTATAGGTAATCTATTACTTTTCGATTGCTAATGTTCTACAGGAATTTTAATAAAAGTGAGAATCACTCCCAGGACTAAGCTATTATTATCATTATATTTAGGCCTATCATCATCATCAATCAAATATCATTATCACCATCATTCTAATTCATCATTACCATTATCGTTATCATTATCTTAATTACCATTACATTAACATTATCCTTAATATTTTATATTTTTCGTAGTAACAGTCCTATAGGGCATATAAATGTGAGAAAACGTATTGGAAGTTAATAAATTATTAAATAGACGGCCTATTATTAATAATAATTAGGCCTAATAGTCTTTATTTAAATTATTTACTATTCAGTTTCTAACTTTTAAACAGACGGTACGGTATATCTTCAATATTCAGGCTCCATAACTTGTATGCTACCCTAAGTAAAGGTTTTAATTAAATATCTAAAAGTTTCCATAATATTTTACCACAAACATCAATCAATGCCCGTTTTAACAATTTAATTATACAACTGATGGCGATCGCCGATCCTTCCATATCTATTGCGCAATTTGCGCAATAAGCCTACTTTGGGAAATGAAATTAGGCCTATCAAAGCATGATCAAAGAGAATCTAAATATAAAACTTTGCGTGCAAATATAGATGAAAGGAAGGCTGTGATGTGGGATGGTCGAATGCATGTGAGCTTAAGGAAATGTATTATCTTCAAGGTTCAGCTACACACTTGAATCATAATGGTAATCAAGGGGCAAAGAATTCGGCGATGTTTTTCGATTCCAGGGTTTTTTTTACAAGCAGTCGTGGAATTCCTCGGAGCTCTAATAGCTTATTCGATATATTTTTAGAATTAATGATATGGGTGAATTCATATAATGTACCTTAACCCATCTCCATAAGTATAACTCATCAGTTGTTATTTTACTTCTTGAATTTCGTACCATTCTAATTGTAAACTTTTCTTAAGAAAGACGATTGTCGATATTTAAGATTTGTGTAAAGTATGGAAACTGATATAACAAATTCTATAAGGATTACTCAGAAGTGCATAATCTGAGAGGAGTTCGAAAATAGGGGAATTACCTTCTTTTTAGCGATGGGGATAGAAAAATAACCCCGTGACACTTTTAATGAGGAGTGGAGGGAATAAAAACAATTCTAGAAAAATAGAAACGTGAAATGAGAGCCTAATATTATGGTAGAAATATAAATTTTGCTGTCAGATGTCAAACTAGCAAAATTCAACAACGAAAAGTTAATATAGGCATAATTGAGGCCTATCGTATTTTTGTATTTCCCTGTATTTTTTCACATTTGTAAGTTTATCTGACGTAACTTATCTGACAAGCAACTAAATTTTAATGCATTCTATATCTGAATATCTTATTTTTTAATTGTTTAAGCATATTTTATGGTAATGTATTATATACATTTTATGTACACATAATTATTTGTATTTTATTTTGTTGGATGGGATTGGAGAGCAGATGTGTATAAGAGACAGAATTTACACCGACTGACGTGTAAGCAATAATCTTAAGAGCTACCGGTATGTTCTTTTCATATCAAATAATGATGGGCAAATTACGTAAAACGTGGTTCAGAGGAACCGTTTTGACTGTATATCAATTAAGATTTGTAACACATTTGATGATTTTACATTAAGTTAATTATATAGGGATTTTGTTTCAGATATACCACCGACACAACTTGCCCTATTGACCTTAATTTGTAGTACTAGTGTAGACAAATTATCTGCTATAGTGATTTTAAAATTCTTAGTCGCGTGCAATTTAGCAAGCCTCTAGGCCTTGTTTAATTTTGAAAGTGATTATTTTGTATAAAATACAGTGCCGATTGGGAATTTTAAATTTAAGAGGTAATATATTTTTAAGACCTTGCTGGCCTGTAGTTGAGCTGTAATAAGCATAAGTATTTGAGTTGCTTACTTTCATATTTTCAAACGAAACATTTTTTTCTTAACATAGGTATTAACACCCCTGCATAAAAAAATTCTTTAAAATATACAAAATTGAATACATTTAAGAGTGTGAATAACGTTCAGGCCTATATTAGTGATAGTGGTGCCAGCCCCTAATATTGTGGTATGAAAGCACAATTTGGGTCATACAAAAACATAAAAACTCTCCCCGTGAACACTATCAGAGATTTCTTTATTCCAGGACAACCCGGACCGAGGCTCCAGTCGGCCCCTTGGTTTGGACCCCTCCCCTCCTGTCAGACATGTCAGACCCCTGTCGGCAAATTTCTGGAGCCACCGCTGAGTGGTGGTGGTTGTAGTAGCGACAACAGCAGCAGTAGTAGTAGTAATAGTACTAGTAGTAGCACTCCGCCGAGAGCGGAGGGGCAGGCGAGGGCCAGTTGCCCGGGGAGCGTGCAATAATAATAAAGTGTATTTAGGAAAAAACATAATTCACATGTTATTATGTCGCGACTCGTTCAAATTGTATCTACATAAAACGCTTAAACCCCCGCACTTGAGGTCCGGCAGATTCGTCCCGGGGACCAGGGCCACTCTAGGCGGTTTATGAGTAATACACAAAGGTGTATTTAAATCTAAAAATTATTTTCAAGTTAAATGATTATTTAAAGTAAATAGTTTTAATGAATTTACAATGCCGACCTTGTTCATGTCAATCGATCTTATCAGAAAACGCATAGGCCTAATCTCTGTCAAAAACCAGTTTTTGCACTTTCTTAGCAAATTGGATTTGCTTTGTTTTCATCCTACTTGAAAGAGTATGCTTCATAACACAGGTATGGTAGTCATAACAATTTAAGGGTTGTTTATTGTTTTTTTTATTTTTACATACTATAGGCTCTATTGTCCATATTCTCTTTTGATTTTAGCAGGCATGTTATTTTTTCGGACGATGAACTATTCTTACAGTTCCTGATCCGCTCAACCCATTGTTTTAACTCGACCTGAAACTTGATGCTATTATTAAGGAATGCGATATTAATCTTAAAGTTATTATAAACAAATAAAACAACAAAAAAACACTTGTAGCAACAGTGCCGGAATGTTTTGGCAATAAGGTTGCTCCCCTCCCCCACACCCGGCAGCAGCCAATTGAGTCTCTGCACAAGTGTGACATCATCCAGAAAACAATGGACACCATCAATGTAAGAGAACACCTTAACCGATCCCCTCTTTTTTCAAACTATCCCCGAATTTTTCTTGGTCCCTTGGATCCGCACCACTGAGTAGTCTGATTTGTATTTATTGTAATTCAATCACGAAGTCGATGAATATCAAAGGCTCCCTCTATGTAATCTAGTTTTCGTTTTTGCGTTTATGAAATAAAAGTTTGTTTTTACAGGCTACAAGTATTTTTCTTCCTGTTGATAAAAAATGTATTATACCTGTATTGAGTTTGCCTTGGTACATAATATGTCCAGGTGTTAGATTGTGACACAGTTTAATATCAAAACTCGTGAAATGGAGATAAGAAAAGTATGTAAAGTTTTAGTGGAAGTGTCCCAGAGAAGGTACAAATGTCATTATCACTCAATGACACTTTTTTTCAGATTGAATGTAATTGCTTACTGAGTGGAAATGTCCTAGTTCCATTGACCTCATGTCATCATAAGGTGGTGGGATAGTTGGTCTTTTTGTTTAAACCAAATTTACCAATTACAGTAAAAGAGATGGAATAAGAGTTAGTTTGAACAGTCGGGAGGCGCATGGTGATTTCTGTTGATTGAGCCATGAGCACACGGTTAGTCACAACTCCCTGCTCGGATAATCCCGGGAATGAATTACGCATTTTACAATTTCACCGATTAGGCTTATATATACTTTTGACCTATACAGGATGGAAAACGAATTACATTTTTTTTTTATAAGAACACATTTTATAAGAACACTGAGACTGAAATTGCTCATAAATTAGGAACAAAATAAGCACAAATTGAGGCTGAAGTGAAATGTCAAATGAGATTTATATTTTTTTAAAAACTAGAAAAACCAACAAATTATATCTGTACTTTATGTTCAGTAGGTGTGACTATGTAATACTCTCTAATATAGTACAGTAGTTGTAACCTACCTTCATTTGGGGCCATTTTGACTGGGGCCTTTTTTATGGGGACATATTTTAGGGGACCCTTTTTAGGGGCCATTTTTTTCAAAGGCCACTTTTACTTACATTCCAGTACCGTGTATGCTGCCCCCGCACTGTAGACAAACCTAATGAAAGCAACATTACCCTCGACACATTCTGTTAATGTTCTATTCCAGTAGAATTACCTTCTAATCTGTTTGGGATCAAAAAGTCTTTATTATCACGCAGTGAAATTAAGGGCGTTTACTAGGCCTGAAGTATACGTATCCAGTTTAAAATGAGGGTTTTTTAATATAGTAAATTAAAAATTTTTTTTATTAAGTCAAGATCATAAATTTTAGTCACGGTGTTTCATCAATCTATGATGTGTTAGTATCCCCCACCCCTTACGTAGGAGCGTTAACATGGGAGAATAAAGCGGGCGTTTGAGGGGCACCACTATAGAATAAGGTGATGATAATGAGGTGAGTAGGGCCTACATTTTCAGGGGAGGGTTTGGTCCTTGTCCATTGAAGTACCTGTAAACCGGGCAAGTATCCTTAGAATACTCTGATACCCTGATTTTCAAAACGTCGTACTAATAAACTGTTTTATCAAGTTTTAATAGGTTTAGTAATTAGCATATAAGTACCGTATGTACGTTAACTGACATTTTTGGTACCTGATGGATGGGCTTTCAGAATCCAATTGTCATTTCTATTTTGTTTTTTATATTTTTTGTAGGCTGTTAGTGTTATTTATTTGGTTATGGTATAATAATAAAGTTTGTAGCATAGGCCTATCGTATTTTTGTATTTCCCTGTATTTTTTCACATTTGTAAGTTTATCTGACGTAACTTATCTGACAAGCAACTAAATTTTAATGCATTCTATATCTGAATATCTTATTTTTTAATTGTTTAAGCATATTTTATGGTAATGTATTATATACATTTTATGTACACATAATTATTTGTATTTTATTTTGTTGGATGGGATTGGAGAGCCAGAGAGTGATTAATTTTGCTATTGGCAATCCGGTTCACCTCCTGAAATTTGTTTAGGCCTAATTGTGTATTGTTTCTTGAATATAGTATTTTATATCCAGTGACGGAATAAATGAAATGAAACGAGTGACCCATTTTGCTATGTCATTTAATGTCTTAATTGAATTCAGAAATGTATTTTCCTTATAGGCATAATAGGCAAGCCTTGAATAAATGGGACCGGTACGATCTTCAAATGTTTAAAAACAGTTACACAAAATGTAAAACAACAAAATTCATCAGAAAAAGGGAAACATGTAAAAAAAAATTTAATTAATAAACACGAATTGATAAAAACAATTGGTTTCGTCGTATGTGTGTTCGTTGAATAATTACAGTAGGTCTACGACTATGAACTACAGGCCTATCATGGAGCTATCGATAATTATTGCACCTGCGCATTGAGTGCATATTCCGGTAAAAGGGGAACGACCAAGCCTGGACAACACCGATCATATTGTTTCTTTTAACCAGACGTCTAAATTAGGCAATGTCACTTTCCAGCAGTGAACTGTCAAAATTTATTTCATCAGAAACCGAAGAATTACATGGAAATTTTGTTAATAACAATTCTGATCGCCAATCGGGAATCGTCATCAACTTGAGAAAAAGCTGGAAATTCTTCACATATTTCAGGCCTCCAATATTGAATATCCAAACAATATTATGCAGATAAACAGTAAATATTGCGTCAAAATTCGTCCGAAATTCTGGTGACCTCACTACTCCGAAGATAGACCCATGATAAAGCAAAAGTTTTGTATGTGTAAAAGGGGAATATATATTACAATTTACAGTACAGTAGAACTCCTAATTTGGGACACCCTTGGTACACCCCTATTAAAGGGGACACGTTTCAGTGAAACGAGTGGAAGCCTATATCGTTTAATGCTAGGATTTCATATTATAAATGAATTGTATTTGCATTGCGAATTATTGCTATAAATTTGTTATAATTCTACTGTAACTCAATACATAAAATTATAAAGAATGTATGTCATCATTAATATGCAAACATTATAAAAACCCCTCAAAAGCGGACAATTTCACGTTTTTGGTTACATCATTCAGGGGACACTTTTGTTAGTCGCGAATTTGTTCCCGTTAACAAGGGTTCTACTGTATTATATTATTGTTATCATCATCGTTATTATTATTGTCGTTGTCGACTTCACCGTCATGGTCATCACCATCACCCATATCACTGTAATCATCATCGTCACCATGGTCATGATCACCAGTGGCGGCGCTAGCGGGGAGGGGGCAGCCGGGGATTAAGCCCCCTCCCCCACCGGACAGGTCAACCCCCCGCCCCATTAGACAGAGCTCGTCGGGCAGTCGGTACCCCCTCTTAAACCCTTCCCACAGCTGGGGCCTCTGACCTCAAGTTCCCTTGTCGGACAATTCATCCCCCTCCCCTCTCACAAAATATATCCTGGAGCCGCCACTGATGATCACCAAAGTTAATAGCCGTTGAAAACGCTCAATATTAACGATTGTTTTCGTTAACAAAGAAAGCAAATTTTTTCACAACACATACAATAAGGTCATAGGTCTATACCTGAATATTATTGTATGCCTATAATTATATAGAATATAAAATCCCTTGACTAATTGTCCTTATTACTGAACAGTCCGTTCACCGTATTCATAATCGTTTAGTGTGTCGTTAGACGACTTGCGCTTGCCCGGAAGGGAATCATTCCCCCTTCCGCCGCTAGAATGTTACTGGTTGCTGAACTTCATTAAATAAATACAGTACCTATAAAACCACAACACTAGCTGCGTTATTGGCATACAATCTGTTGGTAGACAAATGTAGACCAGTAACTTGAACATTATCGAAAGAAATGACGCACACGCGGGAATAGATGTTTATGCAAACACGCTCACATTTGAGGGATTGTTTCAATGAAATATTGTTAGTGTACCTACGGCAATATGCGATCTGGTTCAAGAAGTCCAAGAATGTGAACCAGAATTTTGCGAATCAATAAGTTGCCAACGTGAGTTAGATTAAACGAGAGCTTTGTCGGGGCGCCGCCGGTGTAATACAGTAATACTTTTCTTAAACAGGTTAATGTCTGGGACAGTGAAAAATTCTCATTCATTCAATAAATTGGATTGCTCATTTTAAAAGTTCAAATAAATTATCACCTTCGGAATTTGGAGAATTGAGATTTTAACCCTTAATATTTGACAGAAAACCTGTTGTATGCCCATTTATAGTCAGGATGTGCCCATATACGGTCATGTCACATGTTTTTGTCAATTTCGATAGTCTGGTCTGGGCAGGGTTTTAGGCTGTAACATTGTTAGCATTTGCGTCAATATTGTACAGTGTACCTTAGCCACCTCCTTTGTTTATTGCAAGAAAACGTTTTTGGTTAAATTTTTTATCAAATGTTTTAACATAAAATAACTTGAAGCACTTAAATAGGCCTATTGAATTTTGTTATAATCAAGCAAATAAATAGTTTAAAATATTTAATATAATACAGTATAATAATCGGTAATAACTGTTTAATATATTAAACAGTCTAGGTTCATTAGTTTAACAAAAAATACAGAAGGCCTAAATCCTTTTATAATTATTTATTATAGTCTTAAGGCCTGTTTATACTTTAACGATAACGATAACAAAGCTAAAAAGTAATGGTTCATAAAAAAAATAAAAGAAATAAGAGAAGTTTTTACACTAGAACGATTCGATAACGATTTATCAGTTATGCGATAACAACATATTTTGACAAATCAAATCAGATGACGTCATAATCATGGAAAAACATTAAAATCGTAGTAGTAGCAACGATTTTATCGTTTTTCCATGAGTATGACGTCCTCTGATTTGATTTGTTAAAATATTTTGTTATCGTATACAAGATAAATGGTTATCGAATCGCTCTATTGTAAAAACTTCTCTTATTTCGTTTTCTATATAAACAATCGCTTTTTAGGATTTTTTTTATCGTTATCGTTGAAGTATAAACAGGCCTTTAGTCGCGTCGCGAGCTTCTAGTGATAATCACACGAGAAGGCACGTGTTGCATCATCCATTTGCAAAAAGTAGAGCTCAGAATTTCAGAAAAATATGGGGTGACCATCGGTAGTGGGCTCATGACTATCACGAAACATCGTGCGATTTAGTAATAATTTGTGCTTTGATTTATTTAGTGGTTTACGTTTGATGTATGATGTAGATTGAATATAATTATGAAAATATCTTGGTATTTCTCCAACTTTCTGACACACATTCCCTCACCGGAGCTACTCTACACCTGAGATAATTAGCCGGAAACCACCTGAAGAGTCATGAAACGGGGCCGACTCGAAACTGAAAATTGGAATTCTGTGCCTTTAAAATTCCAAGGAAAGCAGGTCCGGTGTTTTGGTCTTTTATTTACGTACGCGCGTCAATCTAGAACGATGGCCGATGAAAATTTCGTTAATACGAATTAAATTTATAAATGACAAAATCAGATCAACACATGTGTGAGAAATCAGTTTATACTTTATTATTTTACCATATCTCGTTATATACAAAAGGAAGATTGGCATAATGTTTGTGTTTAATAGTCCAATGGTTGTTTTACATACTGTAAAAATAAACCTTCCCAGCATATCCCATGGTTAGTTAGTTTCTAAAGATATTCATTCATTCATTCAATATTGTATTTCGGAAAAGATTTCCATACAACAAAATATACAGTATATTACAACTATGCATCCCGGAGTAGGGGATATGGCTGACCCACAGATAATTACAGCTAAAGTAAAGGAGAAACGGAGGTGGTATTCAAGTATTATTCTAATACCTTCAAACTTTCCAAAACATGTTTTTATGCTCTCCCAAATTCGACAAAGTAACGAAAACAGCGAAAATTAGTATTGTTATGCAGATTTTACATTAAAAGTAACCCAGGTGGCCACACCCATTGAAAAGTATTAGTCTGATACCTAAAAGCTATCTTCACAATGAACAAGCTTGCAGTACATGAGGATCACAATGTAGTTTTTGACGAAATGAGGTATCTGATAGTACTAACATTATGCGGCATTGATGGTGTCCAAATACTCACTCTATTATCGTGAACCTAGACCTCCAGTACAATCGATAAACCTTGGATTTCTATAGTATAAAATTTATCATAAAATTATTTGTAACTAATCAGTTAGATTTGAATATCATTTAACGATCTATTAGTAATGTGCATGTAGTGGATAACATAAATTAATGCCTATAAGCTCTTGTGGGGCAGTCCGCTTTCCCCCCGACCCTTAGGGACCCCTACATATGTCAATATTTTTAAAATGGAGATAAAAAGAACATCATATTTAAATTATAAATCTATGAGGGCCATTTCCGGCCATCTAGAGGCGCCATAATCATTAATTTTTTACCTCAGCCAGCCCCAACCATGGTGGGGCTGAGGTCCGACCATTAGTCTGTGAAAGTCCCTCCCAGGGCGCCCTCTACTTCAAATTCATCGATCCGCCACTGATCATATCATTTATTTTGTCATTAGAAATATTTAGAATATAATGACAAACATGATACAAACACGAACACACCGAAAATTCCACAATGGAATTGGCGACCGGGACCCAAAAAGGCCCTGGCCTCAGCGTCCCAAACCAAGTGTGTCACTGGCAAAACTTAACTTCTTCATTGTCATGTGAACAGTAGAGTGGTCGCTCATGCTAGGCCTACTACCTAAGTTGTGGAAGTCAGGCCTCCTTGGCCTTACTTATATGCCAGCCAGCTAAGAGGCATGTAAAATCTTTTTATTTGTTATTCATAAATGATTTTATAGCAATGACGATGTAGTCCAAAAGGCATAGTTTAGGCTTAGTTAGTTCATCATGGATAAGCCTACCCTCATAATGTTCGGAATTTATTGTGATCGTACGTGGAAGAAACCTTGACTTTTGTGTCAACATTATAACAATTATGAAGTCATATTACAGTAGCATGATGCAAATTTTTTAAATATCCATACATTCCCTGTACCCTACTGCAGGCCCTTGCAGGCTCCTGGTCCCCAGCCTAAATGCTTGCTTCGCTCCCATACCATAGGAAACAGATACCTAACAATGTTTCCTCCAGTATGCCACTGGGCTAAAGTTATGTGGGAAAAATTTTGGCGATGTTAAGTGCCATATTATAGGCCAAGTTTACTGACTGGGGCCAAAATAACAGGGGCCCCTGCTGCCTGGTCTCTCTGATGCCACCTATTACCCCCTAAGCTGAATATCACCAATGCTTTAAATGATCAGGGCATGGAAATTATTATACAGGGCCATCAACAATGTAGAGGTATATTCTCAAGATCATCACGTCTTTTCTGAAGCATCATCTTTTCTATCGTTCCCGTAGGTAAGAGCCAGTGCCAAGCCTTCAACTGATGAAAAAATAAAAATTAAGAAACACATATAAATACAAAGTTCTATATAGTTATGAGGTCTGGAAAACTTGCTTTGTTGGAATGGAAATACAAATGATATACCGTAAAACCTCGAATAGAAGCCCTGGGCTTCTTGTTTTTTTAAATCTTTCCATGGGATTCTTTTCGAGATAGGCTTCTTTTCGAGGCTACTTTTGAAAAGTAATGATGGGGCTTCTTTTCAAAATGAATGTTGTGAATTTTGAGAATTACTACTAACAATACATAGAGCCACTGTAACATCAGTCTGTATCGTGGAGTCTATCAACCATTAAATCATCTAAACAACTGTATAAAGTAGCGTGATTTTTTTAAAATTTATTTTGTTTGATTGTAATTAATGTACAGTGTATGTACTGCATTATCTCGAAAGCAACCGATGCTATCTTGAAAAGGAGATGGGCTTTTTTCAAGGCTACATTTGCAAACTAAAGAGGGGGCTTCAATTGAGAGATGGGCTTCTTCTTGAGATTAAGTCCACTTGGCTTCTATTTAAGGTTTTACGGTTAAAGATAGACAAGTTGAAAATTTGGACAGAATTATAAGGAGAAAGAATAATAACAAATTCCTAATAAAAAAATAATAGAAAATAATTCTGTATTTGCATACTTTTGTCAATACTTGTTCAGGTGGTAAGTCACTTTTTATATATATAATTAAATGAAAAGAAATAATAAAAGCAAAATTGAAATAACAATTTTCAAGGCAACTAACCACGTTCTAGAGTACTTACGATGTGGGAAGGCACCTCGTTTCACAATGGTAGTAAGAAGGGTTACTAAGAAGGTGTTACACTTCTTCAACTCATCAGCCATCTTGGAATACCGCTCTTGACTAAATGTAAGCATAAGATAACATAAAAAGTGAGTTTGTGGCAAAAACAAGCCAAACCAGTCACTTGTCGTTTCAGCGATAATGGCAAAAACATGCTGGAATGTCAAATTTTTAAAAATTTATTCTATTGCACTAAGCTAACCTTCATATATGTATACATCATGCAACATATTCAATGTTTAAACAACAATTTGTAACGATCTGGTGATGGTCTCTGACTTTGAAGGCCGATTTCTCAAATATTGTTCTTTAAACCGCTCTGTGTTTGAATGCTTGTAACTTCATGAGGAAATGTCAGATTTAAATGATTCTAATAACTAAAAATCGATTTTTATGACAAGTGATTAGTTTGGCTTGTCTTTGCCACATTTATTGGCAATAGAAGTAATTTCAAACGTTTTATAATTAGTCTATATTTTAGGAGTATTGCTGTAGTTATAATTTCCCATTAATTTATCAAAATTTAAGATTATAAAATTTTGAAATCTGGTCCTAGGTATTTCATTCATATGTTAGTTTCTCCCCCCAACCCCGAGTATATCATATTCCTAATAATCATTTATAACACAATGCAGTTACAATTGGAAGTTTGCAGAAATGAACCTACCTCAAGTTCAAAATACCAGCATCCCAGGTACGCTGGAAAACAACTGATAGGTTCAACACCTTCATTATGGCCTCTTTTACAAAACCAACCTTCTTGTGCAGCAGACACCGTTCAAAAATGACCGTCATGTATTCCTGGTGAACTCTCATGATCTCATCGATGTCAGATGCATTCTCCAGTCGACCTTGGTATTCTAGTCCAGTGCCATGTAGAATCTGATATCAACCAAAATGAACTTTTGTCCAATTTGTCATCTATTCTGTTTACTTTATAACATGAAACAATGCAATCTCAGCAGGGGTGATGCCAGTGT